TAGTCAGAACACCTTTTATTTTGAGCTGTTCCCATTCTGTCTGCAGTTCCTCCTTTCAAACAAAGAAAGAGAACTTGGATTGCTATTGAACCAAGATGTTTATCCTTGAACTTCATTGTGTAATCAAAGGGAAATTTACAAGTCTGAAAAATGGGAACTGACTTCCAGATCAAGGGAGAGGAACAAATTCGATAGCTGCATTACTAGACCACTTTATTACAGTCCTTCAGGGAAGACATAACTGTGATGTAAATCAGTATCACCAAGGAAAAAAGCCCTAGGCCTCATTTCAAAACCATGACAGAGAGCCCAAGAATCTCAGAACACAAGTACCATTTAATTCTTGGTTCCTGGAGTGAGAGTTTGTTATGATGCCCTTGCTTCTTAGCGTCCTGTGAACAAAAATCTAGACACTGGGATGGAAAGCCATGGCAGACAGGTGCAGTAGCATGGCGACATTAAATTAAGAAATCCTTCAAAGGATTACTAGAATCTCAGTGATTTCTCTTTCCTTTGAGCTTCCCTTCCTTGATTCTGGTAGCCTAATCTGTTAAGTGAGACTTTAGCTGTTGCAAAGTGCCACTCCAGTTCAGATGACAACTGTCAGGAGGATATGTTTGAGAGCTGATGAGATCTTTAGCTGTCTAACTACCTTTAGAATATAATGTCTTGGGTTTGATGAGTGTTGTAGTTCATAATCAGATACATGTGTTTAGAGCCATGCTAGGCATTCTTGAGGATCTAAAGAAAGTTTGGTAAATTTTCAGATTATTTAATTATCAGGTCTTGAATACCCATCCACCACAGCAAAGTCAGGAGTTGTACAGGATATAGAGTCTTTGGAGCATTAATAAAATAATGGAGGACCCATAAAAGACTTAAAAGTGCAAAATGACATTACAGATCTAACCGTTTATATAACTAATTGCATCCATGCAGAAATATTCTGATACATGAATAAATAAATAAAATAATAATGACATGTGAATATTCTTCAAATGTGAGTCTTGGTAAGAGAAATATTAAGATCTAGGTGCTGTTTGTGGCTTTACCATTTGCAAACTATACCAATTCCAGTCGCCACAGAAAACATTCTTCTCATCTGTAGATGGGAGTTAATCATTGCTCTCTCAACTACTTCATGAGTGTTTACAATATCAAGTGAGATGAAGTGTGCAGAATTTATTTAAAAGATGAATGTGATAAGCACAGGCCATGTGGATTCATTATTGTGTACAACCTCACTGAGACTCAAATATATAGAAAACTAGATAATATGCAGTTACCACTAGAGTCTTTCTCTCATATTTGGTATGATTCATCTTAAGTGATATCCATGACTTTTGTTTCTGTTTTATCCCCTTTCTCTCTATATATATTTTTAAGTTGATAAACATTGTTTATATTTATTGTGTACAGCATGATGTTTTGAAATAAGTCTACACTGTGAAATGGCAAAGTCAGGCTAATGCATTACCTTACATACAATTTGTGTGTTTGTGTGGTGAGAACACTTAAAATTTGTGCTCTTGATGACTCTGAAGTCTACAGAACAGTGCTGTCAACTAGTCACCATATCATACAGTAGATCTCTTGAATTTTCTCCTCTTGTCTAAACTGAAATTTTGAATCCTTTGATCAACATCTTCCAACACTCTTAYCCCCAACCTGTGCTCTCTGCTTCTGAGTTCTACATACATGAGATCCCATGTTATTTGTCCTTCTGTGCAAGGATCATTTTATCTCATGTGAAGTCATCCAGGTTCATCCATGTTGTTGCAAGTAACAGAACTTCCTTCTTTCACAAGACTGACTAGTATTTCATTATGCATATATCCCACATTTCCTTTCTCCTTTCCTCTGTTAGTAGATGACTAGGCTGATTCCGTGTCTGGCTATTATGAATAATGCTTCAGTGAACCTAGGGATGCAGATGTCTTTTTATCATRCCAATTTCATTTCCCATGGATACCTACTCAGKGGCAGGATGGCTGGATCATAAGGTAGTTCTATTTTTAATTTCTTKAGAAACTACCATGCTGTTCTTAATAATGTTAGAACCAAATTATACTCCCACCCATAGCTTGCAATTTCTTTTCMACATTTGCTGATGCTTTTTATTTTCATCATTTTTAAATTTTTTATTTTTAGTTATACATGACAGTATTTTGACATATTGCACATACATGGAATATAACTTCCCATTCTTGTGGTTGTACATGATATGGAGTTACACTGGTTGTGCATTCATATATGAACACAGGAAAGTTATGTCCAATTCACTCTACTATCTTTTCTATTCCCATCTGTCATCATTTTGATAATAGTCCTTCTAACARCTGAGGTGATATCTCTGTGATTTTTAATTTGCATTTTTCTAATAGTGATTTTGAGCACTTTTTGAGATACCTATTGGCCATTTGTATATTTTTCTTTTGAGAAGTGTGTATTTATGGTTTCCCTCATTATTAACTGGGTTATTTATTTCTTGCCATCCAGCACCACTATGGAAAAGGCCATCTTCCCTTCAATGCATTGCTTTTTCACCTGTGTCAAAAATCTGTTATGCAAGCTAATGTGGGTCAGTTTGGGGATTCTCTGTCTGTTCCTTCCACCTGTGTGTCTATATAACGCCGCCTTAGTTATTATAACTATTAAGTAAATCTTCATTTCAGGATGAGTGATTCATCCCACTTTATTTTTATTTGTCCAGAATTGTTGTAGCTAATCTGAGGCTTGTGCTTTTGCCTGTAAATTTTAGAATGACCTTATGTATGTCTACAAAAGACTTTGCCAAGATTCTGATACGAATTGCAATAAAGCTATAGATTAATTTTGAGAGAATGGACATCTTTACTGAGTTGAATCTTTAATCTGTCTATTTATTTAGGTCTTTTTTTTTTCTTTTAACGGCATTTTGTAATTTTCAGGATACAGATTCTGTACCTGTTTTGTTAGTTTTATAAAAGTATTTCATTGCTATGGAACAATTGTAAATGGTAATAATATTTTTCAAATTAATGAGTGTTCTCTCAGAGATCCCTCCCTCCACCAAAGAAAGAAATGTAGGGTTAAAAACAGACCTTGAAGATGTCTGGTCATCGATGATGTTTTATATGATGCCCTGCCTTCCTGTCTGAGGGGGTTTACCATCCCAGTGAAGCCAGGGACCAACTACAGCCACAGGCTTCATCTAGGAACTTTTGTTCTCATATTTTTAATTGAAAATCTGAGCTGAATGACCTTGAGGTAGTTCCTCATACCC